GTTTTAGTTCAAATTCTTAACATTAGTAGTCAAATTAATTAAATAAATAAAGTCCAAATTATTTTTGTTGCTTATCTCTATCTTTTTTTATTTAATTATATATTGGTAAGATTTGAATTTTATTGTAAATATACTACATAACCTTTACTTTAAGTTTCTATGCCTTTTATTTTCACTATATCTAAATTCTTTTCCCTATTTATGCTTATGAGCAATCAAACAATATACTAAGTAAAAAATCAATGGAATAATTAAATAAATTTATAGATTAAAAAATAATAGAGTTCTTAACATCCTAAGAAACAGATAGACAAGTTAAATGTTTATTTATATTTGTACCAAAATATGCCTTTCTAATGAATTAAAATAGTACTTCAGTTTGTCTCAATGCTGATATACCAAAGTTTGATGCAAAATTGTTCATATTATTGTGAGATCATTTATTTCATTTATACCATTATATGTGAAGTTAAGTCTATCCCAAATTTTGCTATGGGTGTGGCATCATTATAAAAATTTTAGTTTATTTCAATCTGACGTATCAGACGTAAGTCAGAGGTAAGTTGAACCAAACAGTTTTATAAAACATTGCAGAACCAAGCACCGGCATATAAAAGTTTTCTTGCAGTATAAGTGGTACTTTTCTATCACAAACAATAGACCCGATGCATTCCTTCACTTCAACCAACCAACTTGAATTGTACTGATTAAATCTCGATATATATCACCGTCACTGTGAACAATAATTTGATGCATTCCACCACATCAATCAGTCAACATGAATTCTAAAAATTATAACATTACCATCTATATCTACATCACTTTGAACAAAAGATGCGATGTGTTCTTCCACTTCAACTAGTCACTTCAACTAGTCAACATGAATTCTACCAATAACTTCCCCATCTATATCATAGTCACTTTGAAGAAAAGAACCAATGCATTACTTGGCTACTTCAACCAGCAAACTAATAACATTCCCATTGATCTATATCAACGTTACTTTAAACAATATACCTCTTGCTTTACTCCACAACTTTAACCAACCAGCTTGAATTCTACCAATAACATCTCCATCTAACACCTAAACTTATGTATATACATAGCTAACACTCATTACTTATGTATATATATATAGTTAAATTCTCATACAGACCACTCAATATTTATGTATATACGTAGCTAACACTTAAACTTCAATGTATAAAGAGATTTGCACACATACCATTGAAATCTTATGTATATACATTCCTAACACCTAAACATTAAATCTTACATACATATCAAAATTTTAAAAGGAAAAAAATGAGGAAAATATATAACACATCACCTTCCTCCTCGATCGGTCACAACCATGAGATTGAGCGATGACGGGCTAGGGTGAGGGCTACCAGTGATGGCAGTACGACGACGATGGGGAGGTAAGGCAACCGGTGACAGCGTGACGGAGGATAGGAGATGCGAGGGTTTCAGTGTCACGAGAAGAAGGAGAGGAGACGCGAGGGCTTCGAGGGCGAGGTGCGGGAAGAAGAAAATGAAATAAAGTGTGCGGGATGGGTATGTTAGGTTTAATGGGTCCGATTTTTCGTCTGTTGCATCGGATTTTTTTGCCGTAGTAAAGTAAAGTTTTTGCATCGATTTATTTGACGAAAATTTAACTACTAAACCGCCGAACAATATTGTAAATTTCGCCATCATGAATTAGTCTTTTTGCCTCGAAAATTCAGAGGCTAATCCAACATAAACTGCATCACAAATAACGTTATCTAATTTATGTCGCATAACAGTCGCAAAATCTGACCCAAAACTGTGCATCATAAAAATTTAGACGCAAATGTGGGATGCAATCTTACACTTGTCCTGTAATGCAGACTGATAGGTACAGATCTAACCAACATAGTTAGTGTTACAGACAAACCATTTTATGGATTTTTAATTGAGTTGCGGTAACTTATAGTTTTGTACACCTAATCATTATGTATGATTTCTATAAATTTATCATGAACATAGTTGCTGGAGTGTGTATAATGTATACTTATTTCATTAGACTTTGTATAGCATAAATTAATAGATCGAATAAAAAAATACTTATTCTGTTTTTTAAAAGTCAAATGATTTGCCACTCATATCTTCATTAATAAAGTATGTTATAAGAATATATTTTGAGTTCTTAAGCTTCTAAATTAGAAACTATGGAGACACCAATTGAATGAGATGACATAAAGAAGAGGCCCTAATGTGAATTACATATTTATAAAAAAAAAATTAATTAATAGAAATATTTTTTTATTTTTTATTTTTTTAATAAGAAGAAAAAAACATAATTTTGACAAAAGAGTAGATTTTATCTTTTTTTTTTTCAAAATTTATTGAGTTAATCATCACATATAATTAAAACCTTAGAATATAAGAAAATAATTTTAACTTGAGATTGTAGTAAGTTAACATAAGTGGGGTAAAAAGAAAATAAGAATGTAATTCAATTTACATTGCTCCATCCACCTTGTTTTGTAGACCTACCTCCATTCCACAACTCATCTCAAGACTTTCACTAATCTCTCATTAACAAACCAATATCAAGAATTTGTTTTCATTCATAAGTAAGAAATCTTGAGCTCTTCTTCTCAAAGTTAAAAGAACTTTACTTCTATCATCACTTGTTAGATAATGAACATTCACTTCATAACATAAAATTGGTCACTATAAGCACAACATCGTGGATGGTACCTTTTTTTTCTTGTATGAAAATTTATTAAGATCAATAGTTTTTTCTATTTAGATTAAAAAAAAGGGTTTCAAAAGCTATGTATTTAAACTTGAGGATATAAAATTTGCATTAGAAAGATAACTCAATGTGCTAATTAAATTATTTTCTCTAGTCTCTCATAAGTATTTGAAATCTTATTATAGTTGATTGAAACATTCAAAATATGTTCTAATAATTATCATCACATATAATTTAAATATTTATTGATTCAATTCAAAGTTTTAAATCACTAATTGTTTATTTAGTATTATCATAATCATATGGTATGAATAGTATTGTTAATAATTTATAATTTATAATGTATTTAAAGCATATATATTAATTAGTTTTAAACTAGAAAGTATATTGAATAGTATGATATGCAACTTTTCGTAAAATAAATTTAAACTTTAAATTAATTAGTTAATGAAAATTGATATTTAAAATTTTTTCATTGTATAAAATATTAAGTAGTTTGATGCAGTTCATACACTCTCAAGCAATGATTATTTTTATTAATTTTATTATTTAAACTAGTTCAAACTTAAGAATGAATATATTCTATAGTACGATATAAGGTTAGATATTAGGAATGATTGAAAATTTTGTTCATTAAGTTTACCACTAAATTTATTTAATCTTAAACTTAAATTATGAGTGTGTAAAAGTTATCTTGGATGTCTAAAAACCTAAAAATATAAAAATTAAAAACTCATATAAAAAAAAAAATTATTATTCTTGAAGCTTGATATTATGATGGCTCTACTTTAGCCAAGAGGGCAACTAGCTTGATTCATAACCTTAATCTCAAAGATAAATTTTTTTAGCTTAACTTTGAAGTTAGAATATTTCATACACACCAACCTTAAAAATATTTATTAGCATTTGTCATCTTTTATGATCAAAACTATGACTATAATATTAAGCTTAAAATTTTAACTCTAGCACACTTATAAAGGTTTCATGCCCCAATATTTAAAATTTTATCATTATATCACTAGACATGAAGGACACACATGCAAAACCTTGTTAGAAAAATTGTCTTATTTTACAAAAACGTTTTAAGGAGGCTCATTATTTGAAGTATCAATTAGTGATCACTTCTTCTTATCAATATCTATATGTATGAATGAAAAATCATAATCATATGAAATAAGCTAATATTGATGAAAACAACATTAAACTTTACTTTTTTTGTGATTGATCCAGATAATTGAATGAATCTTTTGAATTATTAGAGGCTTAATTGCATCTTTTTAAGTCCATAATAACATATTTTTATGAAAGGGTTAGACATACATAGGCTTCATTACACTATCATTGTGTATTATATAATAAACAAGGTATCAACAATCATCTTTGAAAAAGAATAAGCAAAAAAGAGATACCTATGTATGATAGGTTTAAGCATCTTGAATATGTTATATAAGAGAATAAAGGTATATATGAGTTAAGCCTCAACAATTACACAAATTTTCCATGAATCTTATTGATAAGAGAATATTATGATATTTTAAAGATGATGTTTTTATAATTGTAGCATGTGATGTTTCATGGGTAAAAAATTTAGACTATAAAAAGTTATCAATACCCACATCAAATATTGAATAACTGGCAATATTAAGATATAATCATTAGAAACTAAGAAAGAATAAATAACTAAATAGTTAAGATATAGAGAGAAATAGGGTGGCATCTATCAAAAATATAACAAGCAAAAATAAACTAAAGTTATTTTGATATGCAAAATGAAGGGTAAAAAACATTCATTTTCAAAGATTTGATAAAATTTATATAAGATGATAATGAAGAAAAAAATGTATGCATAATATTACATAGAAGTTGTCTAAAATTATTTGTAAACAATTGATTTAAATATAACTGAAGGCAAAACTCAACATGTATTAATGAAACCTAAAGATTCTTAATTTCATCCTCTAAATTATTCAGAAAAGGTTATAAATGTTTATGATGATTAGAAAAATATCAAAGAAAATAAACTTGGCCAAAAAAAATTCTTCACTTATTTAAAACATGAAAAGAAAATAGCAATGTTGAAAATGTCATCCACTTTTAATGAGTAGATGCTTGCATTAGAACCAGGTGCTGAGATTGGCTTAATAGTGCTTTCAAAATCCCTAAGCCTAAAATACTTCATATTGAAATGATAGTAAATCTAAGAGAACTTAAATGAACTATCATGTGTAAATTATTGCACAATAACTACACCACAACAACTTTGTACAACCAAATAACCCTCAACCTCACATTCATTCGGAGGCAAACTTGCTTACAAAACATGTGATATAGTTTTTTTTTTTATGTACAATCCTTCATCACCAGCTAACATTTGTACTATATAATAATCAATATGAGCCACCATTAATAAGAAACCTCACTCCACCTAAACCACAGAGCTCATTCAACAACATGTTAAAACAGCAATCTCCTCAAAAATCTAAAACCACCAATCGACTATTTCAATTTATCAGGTAACTAAATACTACATCTGTCAAAAAAAAACCAAAAAAGGAGCAGTTTTTTATTACAGATGATAGAATTTCAAACAATAAAAGCATGAAATTCTATCATCTGTAATTTCATTACTCACCCAACAATTCAAACAATTCATCCATTGTTGGAGAACACTCTGTTACAAAAGCAGAATCTTTATCCTCCAAGGATTTTCTCGGGCGATCTTCCGTCCCACCGCCGGTAACTTCCTTCTTGCTCCCTCCGTCTCCGCCGCAATCACTGTCTTCAGTGACAGCATCCTTTCCCGTGAGGCTCTGAACGACAGACTTGAACTGAGCTTCGTCGGTCTCCACGAACTTCGTTACGATGAATTTTACCTTCATTTGGTTTTGTTCATGGCCGGACATGGCTGCGGGGGAATATGCTTTATAGAGTCCAGTTGGCGTTGTCGTGTTCCAGTTCTAATTAATGAAAGAGAACTGAGATTATGGGGATGTATGTATAACAGAGTTTGCGGTGGTTCTGGGTTGACCTGGTGGGGACTTGACCGTTGAATGGTCAAATTTGACCGGCTACGCTAAATAATGGACTGGGATTGTTTTTCTGGTCAAATGATAGAGATTTTTAGGGGTTTTTTTTTTTTTTTTTCTTGAGCTGGTTTTTGAATTGTTCTTTGTGCTGTCTCTCTCTCCCTATATTGAAGGATTGGCGGAAAGGCGGACCCCAAATAATACCCATGTGCAAATTTGAATACCGTCCGGTCGAGGATTTGAATCCAGGTCGAGAGGGGACTTACCTAGAGCTCCACCAACTCATCTACACCCGATGCACATATATGTATATAAAGTTGATCGTTGATCAACCCCAAAGTCTGACCCAGGGGTGGGCCATTTTCCAGACAGATGTGCAATTCTATCCTACGCATGGATTGAACCCGCAACCTGAGTGACTTAGACCAAAGACCCCAAACAATGAGCTAGACGAACGGGCGTGCACGCGCGCACACACATATATATATGATGAAAAAGATTGGATTCAAATTTATTCCAGGGGTTGCTAAGATAACCTTTTTAATAGTGAAATGCATATTTTCATATATATGTAAAGCATTGTGTTTGTAAAAATTCAAATTTTAATATGAGATACGTAAATACATAATACTTTAGTGTAAATTTCTGAAAATAAAGCAGAAAAATGAGTTATGGAATTTCACTACAATAAATTACAATATCCAAAACTATCTCATCTGAAACGTTCTTTTAATCATGCAGTTTAAGATTTTGTAGGCATTTTAGTTTAAGACTAATGTTTCTCTTAATCTCTGGGCTGATTGATTATCTTGCTGGATGCATGCTTTCGATGCAATCTTTTATAGGAGTCTTTGATATTATTAAGTAGGGTTGTAACACTAACAATAACAGAAATCAACTCATACGTTATAGGAGGAGTCATTTTGAAGTTTAAGAGGTCAAATTTACTTTGTTCTAGAAGCTCTTATGATATGGGGATAAGTGAGAGGATAGAGTTGATTGATATTATATGTATCAAAGTTCAGTCTTACCTTTTGAAAAGATTGTGGCTTTCATCTCGGTTCAATTCAAGTTTGAGAGACTTGAACTCTAGTTCAAGATTGTCAGCAATATATATATATATATATATGTATATATATATATATA